TGCAAATATAGTGTTCAGTGGACCCCCGGCCCAAGGCCTTGGAACGTTCCCAAGCCGAGTTAATGGACTTAAGTGTTTGCTTAGCGGGTGGCCGATGGCAAGACAAGATGTTAAAAATGTAAACAAGAGGCAGGAAATGACTGTCAAAGTGGCCTTCAACGCACTGAAATTGTTAAATTGTCACGAACTCATGCTGGCGCTCCACAATGTATTGTTGACCATACGCCAAAGGCGCATGTACAGACATGCAGAACACAACAAAGACACATCACACGTAAAAAGGTGTTGTTGCATGTCTAACATAAGGACTTGTGGAAAGCACATGTTTTTCTTTTAATAATCTTCCCTCAATCATTTTTTCTTTCAATCATTTTCAAGATTTAATCCAACGCATTTTTTAACTGATTTAATCCGGTAATATGTTTTTCATCTGATTTGTTTTAACATGACATTTTAAATCTTCATCTGATTTTAAAATCATTTTTTTTCCAGATCTGATTTTCAATGATATCTTTTAATTTACCGGTAATCCGATATTTAATCTATTTTTTCTCAACATCTGTTTTTCTTCTAACCCGTTTTTGAAAACCGAACTATCACACAGACAGACGACCACACACATGCATGGATGCAGTTCATCTTTCATTTGAAACATAATCAGCCATTTGCACTCATATTTCTTTTTTGTCGCAGTTGGAAATGTTTACCTGTTATGTTATCACAGTGCCAAGGACGTGTCTCGTAGGCCTTCATTGAGATCTCTGCTTTTTTTAACTGACCCTGCAAAGAAGTCAAACAAAACACATCACACGGAGGCACTTCACTCCCTTCATCTCCCTCCGTCTCCCTCTCTGATCTGACAATCAATCTTGAATAGTTTAAATGTGTCCTTAATGGGCCACTTGACCCCTTTTTCTCATTGCTATGGAGAACTAGTTTTAACTACACTGAAGTCTGCTTTCCTTATTCACTTCGCTTTGCGGCTGTTTAGTCCCAATCCTTTGGTTTGTAACTTTCTGGTTAAAGCATGTTCAATCTTGTGGGCTACTCTTTTGATATCCTTTATGCAAGATACATCTGCCTATGTGGTTGAACTTCGGGTAGAATTGGAGCATTTTTCCATCCTCCAGATCAAAGTCAGGAAAGCTCGATTACTGCATGTCTCTAAAGATTATCCTGAGTGATTATTCTGCTGTGTGGGGTGTGTTGAGGTGGGTGGGTTGGGGGGGTCAAGGTAAATCTCGAAATCTGTCACGTGTGCTAGAACTTACACTAAATTTGCTGTCTATTCTCCCTGGTGTGCTTCCCAGCGTGACAACGACATCTTGCGGTACTTCCAGCTCCAACTTTTGCTCTGGTTTTATGAGGACGACTTGTATGTCTTGACAGTCTACAAAATACACAAGCCTGTCTGGCTCCAGGCTGACGGCCAACCGCACCCATTCCCCTGAAGAGAAGGGGTTCCTTCCGGGTAAAAGAAAACCCTGGACGGCCCCTCCTGCCCTGTAGTCCACATGCAGAACATCGTCCAGGGTGGAGGAGGTAAGCTGGAAAAGAATGGATGATGACGACGTGGAGAGAGACAAAAGGGTGACGTTGGTGCGCTGCAGCTGCTGGCCCACAAAATACAGCCCTAAGCTTCCCTCGAGTTCAGAGCGCAGGATTCGGGAATACTGGGCGGGGAGCGTCAGGTGAGGCGCTCTGGGACGGATTCTGTACATGGCCCCCGTGGGACTGTGCAGTCTGGACACGCCGCTCTTTGGGTGGGATATATGGAGAGCTGACAGCAGGTCAATCACTAAGGAAACACATACAACACTTGACATTATGCTGGAGTACTGACACGCTAACATAAGCAAGGTGAGGCATTATTTGCAATGGTTTTGGAGTCTGATTTATAACGGATGTAATGCAGGCTTATTGCAGGCTATTACAACATTTATGGAATGCAACGTGAACACAGTATGACTTCACAGTGGGGCAGAGATAGCAATGGGAGATGGATGGATGGGTGGAAGCATGGAGGGAGGGACGGTTGGTTGTTTGGACTGATGGATGGAAGGATGTTGGATTTTTGATTAGTTGGATGGATAGTTTGTTGGATGGTTGGATGATGGATGGATGGATGGACGATAGATGCACATTGCATATACTGTAATAGGGTGATGAGTGAATTAAAAATATACAATAAAAGTATGTATCACTTATTTTACTTAAATAACATTTTCATCTCAAGTGATTCCACTCAGTTGTATTTTGGCAGAAAGAAATAAAGAAAGTAAAAAAGAAAGACAGAAAGAATGAAAAGAAAGCAAACATTTCCAAACTATATTAGCAAACCCTTATTTTGTGTGAACTGAGAAAATGCATCATATTGGGAGTACAGGTTGACGTCACCAATACAATCCAACAACAATATCCAAAATGCTTCTTCTAAATCGCATATCCTCATGTTTCATTTTTGTGTGATGTTTTTCAAATCCATGTTTAATTCGTATGACCTCATGCCAAAAGTCTGAGTTAGCCCAAATGTTAAACGCATGTCATATAATACACTGAAGCGAAAGCAGATGGACAAGAACACAAGAACACACTAGTGATTAAAGTCAACTTTTTTCTTCTTCCTGATGGGTGGTTGGTGAGGAACAATTGTGGTCGTCTACTCTGATCGAGTTGAATATATTCCGGCAACTGTGCATTTGGAGTATTGCTGTGCATGACAAACTATACTCGGACCTGGAATAAAGTTGTAAGGATTATGAAATGCACTTACCATTGTCCTGATATGGAGCAGACCCTCCTTGTGCAGACACTGCCATCACCCACAGGATGTCCAACAACAACACTAGGACACTCTCCATTCTCTGCCCTATGATATCATTGAGTTTGGAGGTTCAACCAGAGAGCACGCAGAGAGCGTGGACATAAAACATCTGGATTCCCTCACAAGGCCACACAGCATACTTTGTTTCACCGCTCCACTCCGCGCTCACTGTCACCTTCTGCTGTCTTCATTCTTCTTTTGCTCTTGAAAGGAATTGCAAGGTGAGCGGGAAGTCTTTGCACTTTCTCAATGTTTTTTTTTCCAAACTCGTCTTCCCTCCCTTGTTTTTTCCTTCGTTTTGTTGGGACACTCTCCACCCATCACGGGCAAGCAGTGTTGATTCTCGTACACCCCCGCCTCCCTCCTTAACTCTCTCTCTCTCTCCTCAATCCCCCTGGCTATCAGCTAAACCTGGTGTGGAGACTGGAGAGGAGCCATGATACCCAGTGGATAAGAAACATGTGGGTTTTTTTCCACCCAAAGGAAATAATGCCAATAGAAATAATTTGTGGCAGAGTCAAAATGTCACCCGGGTGAAGTGTTCCACTGCAACAGGCAATATGCTGTAGCTAACCACTTTATTAATTTTGATTTTATTAAACTAAAATGCAAAATGGAGGTGAGAATTGTGGAAAAAAAACGTTCTTTCTGAAGCAGATGATGAGTTGCCAATTTGTCAAACTGCTGTAGTATAGCGCCAAAAACTGCTGAGAAGGACTTACTGGATGTCAGATTTTGTTTGCCATAAGTATCAGTGGCTGGTATCAGGAGTCTCAACAAGTACCGACACCTTCAAATAATCCTGGCATCGGCACTATACCTGATATTGCTACTCTAACTTGTGTGACAATTTTGTCTTGAAGAGACTGATTGGGCACTTACTTTAACGATACTTCTGATTTCTGGTGACATCTGGTGGTCAGCTCTCATAATTGCACCTCACCTGTTGCCGGCTCGCTTGTTCAAACACAAAGAAAACATCAAGTTAATTGAGGTGCGTTGTTTGAATGCGCGCTTTGCGTTTTTTAAACCAACATGACAACAGGGATATTTTTCCTCATGGCAATTGAACTGTCGCCACGACGACAAAAAACACATCTGCAGGAAAAGCAAAACAAAAAATAATAAAAATAAATTGAGGCAGAAGCTCTTTTTGTGTGTGTGTGTGTGTGTGTGTGTGTGTGCGTGTGCGTGTGCGTGTGCGTGTGCGTGTGTGTTGAAGCATGTGGATTAAGCTTCAGAAGATAAATGGCGGATGTTTGATAACTAATCCCTTGTCAGGCCTCGTTACTGCTTTTGCATCACAAAATAAATCCAGCATTCATCCAGCCCACCTGTGTGGAGTTTGCGTGTTCTGTCCGTGCCTGAGTGGGTTTTCTCCAGGTACTCTGGTTTCCTCCCACATTCTAAAAACATGCACGGTAGGTTGATTGGATGCTCTAAATTGTCCATATGTGTGATTGTGAGTGTGAATGGGTGTTTGTATGCTCTGTGATTGGCTGGTGACCAGTTCAGGGTGTACCTTGCCAACAACATATTGTAATATCTGTTTCTTGTATTGGTGTGACGTTCTCTCCACTACTGAAGGGCATTACAATATTTTCACAAAAGAAGGAAATTAATTAACTATAAAAATCATCGTTTCCAGACTAAGTCAGCATACTCCAGAATAAAATTGCATTTTTTAAAAATTTGCTAGTTTCTTTGCTCGATAAATTAGATTTACGGCAAGTAACAACAGAATACATTTTTTTCCTGGAAAAAAAAGACCAACAGTAGAGCAGGGCATGTAAATAATTTTGAAATCAATTATTTTTCACAAATCTGTTCTACATTTGTTTTAGATGCATAATTGTCATGATGATTTTGGTGGTCTTTGGAAAAAGTTCGCCGTTGCATTACCACATAACATCACAGCTCGATAAGCTACAAAAGGGATATTTAATTTTTTAATAATCAACTGTGACCCGACTGCTGTGCCTCATTTGCATAACAATCTGTTTCCCAAGGTCAAACGGTGTCTTTTGAGCCAGACAAATCTCTTAAATTCACCGATAGCAACAGTCTGGCCCTCGATGCCAGCATCTTGCTGGCATCGTAATCTGATTGGCTCCATTTTACCCCCTGACCAGGTAAGCCCCACCCCCTGGAGGGCTTTATCCCCTGAGCTGACGTTTATCCCTCGATACGCCCCCGTAAGCTGCTGTCTGCTTTTTAATGTGCGTGGGCGGAGGCATTGGTGGGTCGGGTGTGTGTTCTCTTGCCACCTTTGTTTTGAAGTTGTTGGTCCTAAAGTGGCATTTTCTTGCATTTGTAAAGCAGCAATGTGTTTCCCATCCGGACAGCGAACATGGAGGCTGATGCGCCCACCGCAAAGGATTTGACAACAGCAGGTCAGTATGAGAAGCTGTTTGAGCAATTTCAGATCTTCTTGACAGCCACCTTTAACACAAACACACTCTTTGACAATTCTGTATTTTAGTACAGTGGTTATCAAACTTTGTTAAAAGTATCACCATCATGCACATGATAAAAATACAGTTGTGTAGTAGGCCTAAGTGTTCATCTGAACCGCAGCAGAGGATTTAGTCCTGAAAAGTATATTTAATTTTATTTTATGCCACAGAAAAATTATGCACCGTTTTAATATAAAGGGGCTTTTTGCTGTTGTTGCTTGTTGTTTTTTTTTTTTTTAAGAACCCATTGCACCCGAGGAAAAAACTGACCAGACAAAAAAGGCATAACTGACCAATCATGTGCCACACACTCACACACGCATAGCCGATCAAATGCACATGCCCACAGCTTCATGCTGACCTGTAAATCTGGGCTTCAGGAGCTTTGTTGAAGTTTTTTTGTTGGATTTATTTAGTTTCCACTGGTGGATACCTCTAAAAAGTAAAAAGATGCCAAGCCAGCATTTGCTAACAAATGGGCATAAGAAGAAGAAGTAAAAGCAGAGCAACAGGACTTCTGCAAACTGAGAGGAATCAGCAGCGATGTAGCATTAGCAAAAATTCTATTTGACAAAAGTCTTTACTGCCTATTTTATTTATTTACAAGTTTTGATTGAATGTATATTCCAAAAAATAAAACATACCTTCAAACTGATAAAATTCTACAATTATAATTTACAATGGATTTCAGGCATGTATTTACATTTGTTTGTGACACTTACTGCGAATGAGTCATGCCATCGAGGTAGCGGCTGTGGCTAATGTTAGCTACAATACAAATGCTAGCTTACTATTACTACCACTGTTGGTTGGAAATGGGCAGCACTCTCTCTGATCAGAGGCACACATTTTCATGATTACATGATACTTTGACAGGCCATGTTTGAGAATCGCATTCATGCACATCGGTGAGGGGCGCAGCTTTAGTCTGACTTGGTTGGGGCGCGGGGGATTTGTGAAGTGTGGGTACATTAAAATCTTGCTTGCTGGTTTAAAACTACAAACTTCCAGTAACACTGCACTTAAATATAGAGATAAGTAAATAACAACAAACTGAATTGAAATAATGATTAAATTAAAATGTATAGCCCATAAAAGGAAAATAAGATTGTACCAAATAATTATTTTTAAATAAACATCTCGAAAAGATCAAATGTAAATGAACTTAAACCATAAATACAATCAAACTGTATTTGGTGATGATTCTTTCATTTAACCAAGGATATCGAATAAATGGCTTTGATATCCATCCATTTTCTAATCTGCTTATCCTACTTTGATATCCTTGATATCGAATAAATACTCTCCTGACTTCCCAGTAGCTAATAGCAAGAAGACACCCTTTGGCCTGCTTGCTATTGTTTCTCAACCCTAATTTGCACCATTCAGCTACCTCGAAATCCTGAGGCCCGTCTGAGCTCAGGGATGGCCCCCATTGCCGGACTGAAGTGGACACTCATACTGACGCTATTCCTGCGTCTACATGCAGTCGCAGGTACATCACGCTAACCTCCATGAATCCAAGGAGTGCTTTTTTTCTCTGAACTTTCTCGTGTGCGATGCAGGGATGTCAGGATGGGGAGGTTGCTTGGATGGTCAGGACATCTATTCCAAAATGGCGGAAAACAGCCTCTGCGGAGAAGTGGTCGCTGACCTCATGGTGGACACCCCGGCCGAGGGGGTTGAGTGGAGACTAGACGGGAAAGACGCCGATTGGTTCTTCTTGGATGGAGGAGTCATACGTTTGAATTCATCACCTGAGAAAGTTCTTGACCGAGAGGTGTTTCCTGTTAACTCTAAATGCATCTCTCTGTCAATGTTATCGACTTGAATGGCAAAACATGAAAGGATTAAATGTTACGGTGCCTCACAATCTCTCTGATCCTCCAGCCAGCCAACTGCTTGAAAGTCAAAGGGTCAACCAGATTAACTGTCACTCTCGTCTTTCCTCAAATACACACCGAGATTTAAGTCTTGTTAATCATTTGAACAAGCAAGCTAGCGGCTAGCTGACATGTATGTAACGTGTCCTACTCCTACTACACCACTAGCTTCCTCTGTTTCAGCTGCAGGGTCCTGTGCTGTTGGCGGAATTGTCATGCTATGAAGACGACGTGCTTCAGGTACACTCTTTACATCAAAAGAGCCGAGGTGGTAAAAGTACTCAGACTCTGTATTCAAGTACAAGTACTACATAATCATTATAAGTAAATGTAGTGGTACTGATTCATCCCTGGACGATTCTATTTTGACAAAGTAAGAAGTAGAAAGTACTAAAGTGTCTTCAAATGAAGGAAATAACATTAAAAAGCTGTCATAACAAAAATTACAGAGCGACCTGAAAAACCTCCATTCACAAGACCATAGTCACAAATTTGTGTTTGCTACTGTCACTGCAGAGCGTTTCCAGGATCATAGTGGAGGTTCTCAACGAGAATGACAACTGGCCTGAGTTTACAGAAGACACCATCCGATCTGTTGTTATCAGCGAGGTAGGACACTCAGACATATTAAAAAAAAGGAAAAAACCTGCACTTTTTAGGAATTAATCACATTACTGTGTTGTCCAGCTGACTCCGGTCGATACGCTCGTGTTTACCGTCCTGGCAACTGATGCAGACAATGACCACATCATTTATTCCATTGACCAGTCATCTGTAAGTTGATCTACAATGAAGAAGATAATGCGGTGTATGATGACATTCTGTATAATGTATGCTCATGTATTCTTCAGCCTGACGCAGACTACTTCAAAATCGATCTTCACAATAGTGGTGAGGTGATGCTCGCCAAAGCTCTCGACTATGAGACCAAAACTCAGCTCTCTCTCACCATCCTTGCGTCTGTAAGACCTCTTTTTATACAGATTTTTAATGCCGTCAGGGCAGCATGGTGGCCTGGTGGTTAGCACGTCTACATTGGAGCGCTGAGTTTCAGGGTTCAAATCTCAACTCTGGCCTTCCTGTATGAAGTTTGAATGTTTTGCACAAGCTTCAATACTCAGCCTTCCTCCCACGTTCCAAAAACATTCAAGTTAGCTTCATTGGAAACTCTAAATTGTCCATAGGTGGGAATGTGATTGACGAGTGACCACACCAAGGTGTGCCCCACCTCTTGCTCAAGGTCAGCTGGGATAGAGTCCAGCTCACCTGCTACCCTAATGAGGACAAAGGATATGGGAAATTGATTAACATAAAGACACTGCTAATGTCTACCAATCAAAAATGCCACTCTATGACAGGAAATGAACACGGCTGAGCATTTCAACACTAGCACCGACATCATGGTGGACGTCCAGGATGTAGATGACCAGTATCCTCAGTTCCTGCCCTGCACGCTCCTGTTTCAGGACCGTACCAATCGGATTTGCACCAGTCCAGTGTACACCGTCAACGTCACAGAAGGCAAAGAGGTTGGTTGTAGTCTGGCTTCAGTCTTTAGCAACTTTGGCCTCGGGTGTAGTTTAGAAGTGAATAAACCTGTGGGATCAAAGGGAAACTGTCTGCAACAAACAGAAAGAGTCCATTTTCCCCCGTGGATGTAAACCAGGAATTAACTCAAACAATCCTGGCCAGATGTGTATGTTTGTTGTTAGTTTCTCTGGTATGTTCCTCAGCCTTATCTATAGCTCATCTGTGTACCTTACTAAAAAAAAAACATGATGTATGTCTTATTCTGATGCAGGACTTTGTCCTGGATTTCTCTCCTGGTCCCATCCATGCAGTGGATGGAGACAGAGGACTCAGTGCGACAGTCAACTATGCCATACTCTCAGGTGTGCAGTAAAAATAGTTAATGATCATCTTTTAACCCGAATTTTAACCATGTTGTGGTGTTCGTGACAGGAGACGACCACGGCCGTTTCCTGATGGACCGACTGACAGGAGAGGTGAGGTTCACCAGGGCGGTGAATGACAGACTCGCCACACCAGCACTGCATCTTCAAGTCATGGTGAGATTGACTCAAATTGTGTACTCAAGAGGTGTTGTGCCATCCTTCGTGGCATCAACAAAATCAGAAGCTTTGATCTACATTCAGAAACTAAATTTGAATAATTGAGCAGTAAAATTGTTTTCACTTAATTTATTCCCAACAGTTTTCTCTCTTAATTAAGTTCTTCTTTAGGCTGCACTACTTCCAGTATATGCATATGTGAATGATTTTTTTTTTTTACGTTGAATGCTTTGCCTTTTAGTCTCGTGTAATTTTCTATAATTATGACTTGATAGTGGTGGCTGTGGTGGTAAGTAGTGGCTTAAGTCAATTATGTCACCACTTAAGGCCCAGGGACAAAATGCCCGCCACTGAGTACTTCTCACTGGACTCATTCAGTGTTCTGTAACACAGGCCTTTCAAGATGACGACCCCAGGAAGTATTCTGTTGCCACTGTGCTGGTCCGTGTGCTGGCGGTGAACCGCTTTCATCCAGTGTTCGACATGGCTGAATACCACGGCTTTGTGACAGCGGCAAAGAATCCCGCCTCCCTGGTTTATACCTACGGCAACAGGGCGTTGATGTTACATGTGCAGGATCAGGACTTTAAACATGTAGGTCCACCTACAAAGCATCCACAGTACAATGAAGTCCTTGGCCGTTGTTCAATTGTCCTCCCTATGCTGTCTTGCAGGGATTTAATCCGATGATCTACTTCACCTTCAGCCCCGCGTCCAATCACACGAGCATCTACAGGGTCACACAGGAGGGGCTCCTCATCGCCCGGGCCAATCAGCTCAAAGCAAGACAAAAGCACCTTCTGCACGTAAGCCCCAGCAACCAAAAACTGAATCATTGCATGTGTTGCTGTCAGCTGAAAACTAAGTGTACCGTGGTGGTGGTGGTGGTGGAGGGTTAACAACTTGATACCCGGGTAAATATGTAGGTTTTCTCACTTTCAAAGGAATTTATCAATTTTTAAACTTTTTCACTCCCAAAGACGTTTTTAAACGTCTTTTCAGACTTACTTAAGGATTGAGTAGGGAAACCTTCACTGGTAAGCATGGTGATTTGACATTTCTTGTAGTTGATCAGCAGGTTTACACATAGCTCAGGAGGTATTTTGACCCACTCCTTCATACAAAACTCTCAAAATCCATTACGTTTCTTGGAAACTCCAACGCCACTGCAAGACCTGAACATGCTTCTTCTTGAGCAACTCCTTTGTTGACCGAGCAGTATGCTTCATGCTGGAAGATCCATCCACAAACAATGCACCCTAAGACAAAAAGTGTACGCACATCAATATAGCAACAATATCAATACGTGGCAGGTAATGGCGAGAGACCGGGAGTCAGGTGACGCCGTTGTTTCTACTGTGGTGGTGGAGGTATTATCCGAAAGCCAGTCAAGTGAGTAAGAACCCTCCTCAAATGCCTCACAAAGTGAAACAACATAAAATCTATGCAGGATATGTATACGCTGCATTACAGTTCCTCTGAGTGCACTGGTAGACGACCGTGTCATCAGTTGCACCCTAGGCAAAGCCTTGTTCCTCACCACGGCCTTCCTGACGGTGGTAAGCTGCGCCGTGATAATGGTTCTGTGGCTGAAGAGGAAGCATAAGGGCCATCTGGACCCCCTGGAGAGAGGCTGCGTGGCCCAGGGCAAGCACCCCAATGTGGTGAGATGTCGGCACAATCGGGATCAGCTTAGAAAGCATGCAAGTGTTCTGTGTTCTGAACACGCTTGTTTTGTCCGCAGAGTCTTCGATGGTTCCAACTGGTGAGTTGTGAAGTACAGCTAAACTGTAGAGATAGTACCCTACAGTAAGCATCTACAAAATCTTGCTCAACAAAGATGGATTCATAGATCAATCTAGGAATGGATGTATTACAATTACAATTACAATTCTCTTTGGAAATGAATATAGTGCATCTTGAATGATGGATCGCTATAATGGATGGAGGAGATAATGACTAAATGGATGCATAGATGGCTGGGTCACGTGTGCTTCATGATTTAATTAGGGCAAAACAAATTATAGACAAACAATGCAGGGATTCTAGTTAGATGAATTCTACTGCTTTCTAGCCCCCAAAAATATTTGGTTTTGTCAAAATATGAGCAGATGCCATTTTGATTTAGCAGAGTTGGACATCAACTGTGACCTGATGGCCCAAGGCCACTACGCCGCTGTGTCTATCCACCATGTACTGTTGAACTGGATGATTAGTGAATGGATGTATTGAATGGATTAGTGATTTGAGGATAAGTACACAATAGTGTAATCCCCCCAAAAAATGAAATAAATTAATGGATGGATAGAAAGATGAATGGTTGGACAACTTGTTAAAGAATGGATGCAATTGACTTATGGTGGAAGAACTCCAGACACCCCCGCTCACCTCTTGACTGCTACGCCAGGTGAATCCGAGCAGTGGCACAGCACGTGCGGATGACGTCAGCTTCAGCAGTGAAGACTACGGAACTACAAACCCTTCGTTCAGTTTCTCGGGCAAAGACTCTTCATCTTGCCAAGGGTCGATCCAGCCCAACAACAGCAACAACAACAACCCGACAGCTCTCCTTGACGCCACGATGAGCTTGGCTGAAGCAAAGTGTACCACCATCACATTCAGCAATAGTGTCGCCACCCCCACCAGAAACGTGTCTTGCTTGTCCACCTTCAGGCCAAACTCGGTGGACATCAACCCCGCTGAGCCCAAAGACAGCAGCTCGGATATGCCTCCACTAGATGCAGCTGGACCTTCCACTTGTCTCGACTCCCAAACAAACACCACCGAGGATTCTGCAGAGACCCCCTCCAGCCCCTCGCCCTCATCTGCTAGCGTCCCCCGCAGCCAGACTCGGATCGCTGCAGCTGAGATCGAGAAACCTTTCAGCAAGCCTCACGCGGCGTCACCCCCTAACCCCGTGCACTCGCCTCAACTGCTCTCGCCCCGAGCCAAACAGACAAGCACGCCACCGCCCACCCCCGAGCAGGCACCCTTGAAGGCCACGCTGGTCATGGTGGACGCGTCACCTGAACCTTCGGAGCATAGATGGAGCGAAGAGGAGGAACAGCCCTGCACGTCTCTGGACCAGCCAGAGCAGCCAGAACACCTGGAGCAGGAAGAGCATCCGCAAAACTCAGAGGATGACGATGGAATTTTGGGCGACGAAGACGCCGACAAGAACAGTGAGGGCGAATTAGAGGCGGATGAGGCTGAGCTACTAAGGGTAATGTCCCGGTGCAACCCCATGTTTATCACGTTCACCCAGTGATGGAGGAAATGGATACACAGTGGACACAAGGGGCGCCTTAACCTAATAGAGAACACTCGCGATTCAAATTGTAGGAATTAATTAGCCTGTCCACACTTCAGACTTATCTTTCCTATTAAAGAGAATTTTCTAAATGAGGAATGACGACTGGTTGATATTCTTTCTGCGCTCTGCATGCATTCTGCACCTTTACCTGGATCCGTATTGAATGTAACCAATTGCTTTGGTCTAGCCTTTCAAACTTAAAGTTTCACGCCAATTACTTTTAAAATAATTTACCATCACTAACAAAAATTGAAAAAAGTAAAATAAGATAGCGGGCCGCCCGGTAGTCGAGTGGTTAGCATGTCGACGTCACAGTGCAGAGGTTGTGGGTTCAATTCCAGCTCTGGCCTTCCTGTGTCCTGTGTGGAGTTTGCATGTTCTCCCCGGGGCCTGCGTGGGTTTTCTCCGGATCCTCCGGTTTCCTCCCACATTCCAAAAATATGCATGGCAGGCTGATTGAACACTCCAAATGGTCCCTAGTTGTGAGTGTGGATATTTTACTGAGAAAAAAAATTTCAAAGGTCAAGAAATCACAGTTTAAACTTTGCTATTTTTGGTTGCTGATGTACCACAAGATTTTTGTCATGTAAAAAATCATTTTTACCTACCACCATGCTTTGGCTTCCACTGTATTTAAAGAGAAGGAAGCGCAATTCAGCTATTTTTTTGTAAACCTTTTTTTTTTTAATTTATAGAGCAATCAGTTTTTATACAGAACAATCAGTGTGATGTCAAATCTATTTTGAAGACCAAAATGCTACCTTTAATTTGATTTAAAAAAAAATAATTCCAATGTACTCTCCCAGGTCAATGACACCATTTTTATTCTTGTCCATGTCTTCCACCGTTTCCTACAGGTATGAGGACAGCGGAGTATAAACAAATAGCCATTGCCACAGTGTTATCACTCACAAGCAACGCGATGTCTTCCATGTGGTCGGAATGCTCGGAATGAATGAAGAGGATTCCTGTTTTAACACGACTAGTGCTTAAAATGTATTACACACTTGGACACGAACCATCAGGGGTGGAATGAGGTCTCCAAGTGCCCACTTTACAGCAAGGATCCGTCCGTGATCGGCCTGGCCAACTTTAAATCATCCACCCGTGAATATTTATACATCTTATAATGTCTGTGATTTGATGAGTTTTCGACAAATATTCTGTCTAGTACAATAAATAGCCATAAAATGGAGCCATAAAATTCTTTGACAGTGAACCAACTTCGAAATTCAGCAGGGGATCAAATAAAGAATCAACAACACGGTGGCCACAGCCAGCAGCTAGACTAGACCCCAAGGACCACATGATTAGGCCATTGGGCTGTTCTAAAAAAAAAAAAAAAAAACAGCTCACCAATAACGGGGCATTGTGATTTTCTCAGAATGTTGAAGATGTGATGTAAACACCGGCAGACGTTTATCAAATGTTACATACTGTTCATCCGTGTTCAAATTAGTATGAGAAATCATCAACCGGATCGATGTCACAGTGTGTATCAAACTCCCACCTTTTAAATAAATCAAAAGACAAGAAGTAGCCGTCAATTAAAAAATGATTGATGAAAAATTCCCCTATTTTTTTTTTTTTTTTTTTTTTTTGGAGCTTGAAAACGGGATGATTGCTACTAGTGTGAGTGTTTGGTTCACCCACAAGGAGGGTCATCTAACAATTTGCAATAAAGTGTCTACCGGTATAATGATTTTTGCTTTCAACATTTAAGCTCGTGAACTGGGGCAACACATACATAACTGAATTTAATACAGAAAGTGAAAACTGTCTGCCGTCTAAATCTACGGTATGTAATAAACTGAAATAAAGGGTAGGGCATTTTAAAAGTGCCCTTAAAATGATGTAAATGCTTTGAACCCTTTATGACATTACCTTGATCTGTGATAACCCTTTATGACATTATCTTGATCTGTGAATGTAATAAAGCACTTTAACTTTTCACCTTTGTGACTCACATTCACTTTTTACTCTCTAGCAGGTTATGTCAGTAGCCTGACAATACAGTATTCACAAGAAACTGAGGACCGGCTCCCGATCATCAACTGTAATTAATATAGAGAAAGACGAAAAGAGACTTAGTAGGGGATCGAGAAAGAGATTACAGCGTGTCAGTAAGTTGAGTTAAAGTCAGAAAACGGTCAGAAAATTACCCACACAAAGGGAGAGAACATTTAAAAGTTAAAATGGCCAGTATTATATTACACTAATCACTTAATTGTCAATGTTAAATGCCATTGTGAGACAAAACCAAGGTTTTGAACAATTAGTCACTCAAGTCTGAAATAAGATGACGGAAAGTCCCAACCGGATAAGCTAGTGCTCAATTCTATTGCTGAGCCAAAGAGTTGGAAACTAGATAAAACTAAAACTGTTAAGTTGTTAATCAGAAGAGGGGGAATGTAAATGTTATTTTTCTGAAGGTAAGCAGCTTATTTGTCTACTCTTCACTCAAATCTTTTGAAATGCAACCGACTTCTATTTTGTAAATTAGACTACATTACACAGTTCTGCATTTAATCCTATTTTGAATTCAAATTAAACTCGAAGACGCTTCAGGAAAGTGCAATCATAAAAGCAAACATAACAGCAAAGAAAACAACACAATGACTCTGTGCGGGTGTGTTAACTTGTAGATCACAACTATATCAGCGGTCATACACATCTGTTTAGGTCTGTGTTACTTGACAATAATACATTCCAAAAGGTTTCAAATTGATTGGACTGAGGAATTAATTACAACAGTTACAACAGCTAGCCTACCTAACACCATTCAGAATAGATAGGGCTACTTAACACCAGTTATAACAGCTAGCCTACTTAAATATATGACAATAAACATCAACTATGATCTTCCAGACCGTTGCCTCAAGAAATATTCTCGATCTGGAACTTTTCTAAATTTTAGTTGAATACCCCTCTTATTTGTTTGTCGCTTATGATTAGCCCATGCTAACAATGAAACACAATGCGCCATCTCACCCACTGGCTGCGTCTACATTGTCAGGATGGAGTTGCGGCTCTTTTTAATGTGCTTTGCCCTCTGTGTGGCGTCCATCTCCGGCACTGCTACGGAGGATAACCGCGACGAACCGCCCAGTAGGCGAGAGCACAACGATGCAGAGAACTTGGATTACGACCACAAGGCCTTTCTGGGACAGGAGGAGGCCAAGACCTTTGACCAGCTCATTCCTGAGGAGAGCAAGGAGCGACTTGGGTAAGGTCGCTCTCCTAAATTCGGGGCCACGGATGAAAGTACAAGCAGTGTGGCTGCGAGCAGATTAGAACATTGTCACCTGACCTTTTAGGGATCATCTTGTGGAAAAAAGTACAAGATCCCAAAACTGATTGGGGTAGGTCTGCTTTTCAACGTATTGCTTTCATGTTATCGGCAGCATGCTGGTGGACCATATCGATGAAGACAAGGACGGTTTCGTGACCATGGAGGAAATGAAGGAGTGGCTCACAGAAGTGCAGAGGAGGTGGATTTACAAGAACATTGATCGCCAGTGGGAGATGTTGGACATCAATGGCGATGACTTGGTGTCATGGGAGGAGTACAGGGACATCACGTATGGAAACATTGGTAAGAACCTTGAGCCGGAAATTAAAAGTCAGGTACAAACACTCCCAATGCTTAAGTTGCACATGCTTGACCGTAGATGCCAAAAACGAAGATGGCTTAAGCTACAGCGAGACGATGGGGCGCGATGAGAGGAGGTTCAAGATAGCCGACCAGGACGGGGACCAAAATGCCAACAAAAAAGAGTTTGCCTCCTTCATTCATCCCGAGCATTTTGAGCACATGGAAGACATCATGGTGCATGTGAGTGATAAATTCACCGCACAGATAACCACTGTGACAATAGATGTTTATTTATACTGCCCTGCTCTCTTCCCTGTAGGAAATGATGGAAGACATGGACAAGAACGGAGATGGTGTCATTGACGTGGGAGAATACAGTGGTACTTTTTTTTTCTTTTAATCAAATCAAAGGTGTCATTTTGGGGTCTTAAAAGACATAAAGATTACAAAAATCTCACAGTACACTACCAAATGAAAATGCCAATGGTTTATACTGTGGTACCTTCACTTAGGGCAATATTGCGGTTGAACACAGTACAGTATTATTTGAAGAAATAGTCATAACTGCGCAAACATACCGCAAGTGTACATTCGCTTCTTAGGGACATTGACAAGTGTTGGTCCAGGGAAACAAGACAACATGAGTAGAATCTGATCATGTTGGTGTTCACCTTCTCAGGCAACACATACAGGCATGTGGGCAAGCCGAAGCCGCAGTGGGTGAAGATGGACAGGGAGCGTTTCACAGAGCTCCAGGACAAGAACAAGGATGGCAAGATGGACAAGGAGGAAATGCAAGACTGGATCTCAACCACTGAATACAACCAAGCCAGGGCCGAGGCAGAGCACCTGATCTTAGAGGCCGACGCAGACAAAGTAAGCCCTCGCATCTCATTCATCCAGCAATATGGCCTTCAAAGAAAATCTCACTTTACTTTCCATGAAATCTAATTTCTGTTGAGCCTAATTTCCGTTGAGGCGTCTCAATTCTCGAAACTTTTTTTACACCAAGTGCAATATAAAAAAATTTTGAAAAAAATACCATACCACCATGTTGAAGAACAATAAAATACCGGTACACTAGATACGCATACGAAAATGTATGTTTCGTGTAACTGTAAGCGAAAAACATTTTGCACAGTGTAAACATTATCAGCGCGCTTGAATATAAGAAAATAAACTGCAGTTAATGCTTCTGTTAAAATGTGTTGCACCCAAGAGTTGCCTTCCAAACGCACCTATAGTAAAAGTGAAATCCAACTGAGCTGTATTTCACACAAGAACTGCACTGGAATAAACTGCTAAAACCACTAACATTATGCAACGTCTCAACATTAAATTCATACGCTTGGAATGACAGACGCTGCTAAATATATACAGGACATTAAAAAAAAAAAAAAAAAAAGAAATCCTTGACATAATGTTGTTTAATCTCTCCTGTAACTAGGATGGCCGCCTGACCAAGGCTGAGATCCTGGACAAGTACGACGTGTTTGTGGGCAGCCTAGCCACCGACTTTGGAGAAGTCCTCACCCAACACGATGAGTTGTAAATTTGGAGCTGTCCACTGATCGTTTCCTCTCAGTGGACGTCATTTAGCACCATGACAAGTGGCAACCGTTTTTGTGGAATCTTGTAAAAAAATATATGGAACTTCAAATGCCTCTCCATTCCCAATAAGTTAAGGAAAAACAATTCTAGCATACATGATTTATTCTACTGTCCATGTTGCTGTTATCACAAAAATGTTGACAAACCTTTTGCATTATTTGACACTGTTTGAATTTTGTGCGCCAAGGCAAATCCATTCAAACTAATTTTGTGTTTCATGTTCCTATAAATATCTTTGCTTGTCTTATATTATCACCACTTCATCATATTCAGTGACATAATTGTGTTTTTTTGTTTTTGTTTTTTTTACAGGCTCATAGCAAAAGAAGCCTTTGTAAAGATTTAATTGTAAATGTTAATGCTAAATGTTGGTCTCAAAACCTAGCTGATGGAATAAAAGTTACATTTTTTGTGATTAAGAACATCTACATTTTAAATACAATTCTTAATCTCTATTTTATTTTTAATGCATGCTGCTGTAGTTCTTTTGGGAAAGATCTGGAAAAGTTTGAGCTGTCTAGACCCCGTTTGGCTTCCAAGAGTTCCATTTTTTTTTTTTTTTAATATTTTGTGAGACCTACTCGAGGAGAAATCGCAGGAACCTAAGCCAAGGCAGTGTTTTATTGTATTTACAGGTTATGCTAACAATGGTAACATTTGACACGGGACCTGTATGATTATGTAAGAATGGTGTGCAATGAGATGCATTATAATTTACTTTTTTTTCTTTTCATAGTTTACCTTGTAGATAGGAAGGTGTCTTGGATGCTTCTTGCAAAACGACCTACACATGTGGCAAAACAAATTGGTGGTGGCTGTGTTCTAAATGATGAATTGGATATATGATAGCAAAGCTAAATGTGAAATTTTTCACAATCGGTCATCCTATCATCCCATCGAATAATCAGTCAGATGAATTTGCATGAAATCAACATAGGCTACCATTCCACGTCTTCGCTGCCGAATGGTTTCGGCGGTCCATGCAGCAACACACCTTTGCGCTTGTACCTGCACATTTGGGTGATTTAACGTAAGGGACTCATTTCAATGTGAATTATGCAAGCCTGCATTGCGTTTGGAGCAGAGAACAGTGACGAAGCAAAAGTAACTGCAAAGGCCTGAAAATCTTTCCGTGCCTTAAAGGTGCTGGTCTGCGCTCAAAGCGCATATGAACATCAAAAATATTTCATGAGAAATTCATCTGCAAAGTTGAGTTCCTTGTTGGGACCCGGGATGGACACAAAGAAATATGAGAAGGACTGAAGTGACTTAAATATCCTAGTCGTGATACGATTTTATATACATTACAGTGAAAAGAGGAAAGTTGGTTAAAGCTGGATTTTCTACATTTTTTTTTGTCAAGACTCAAAAGACCTCTTTTTTTGTAACCATACAGACGAGACAACTTTAATAAGAGCTGCACAATATATTGGGGGGAACAAAATTGTTTGTGATCATGGCACATGCAATGCAGAATCCAAGATGTGTAATTCAGACTGAATTGCTTTTATGCTTTAATCCAATTTTGACCAATCAGATGGAACCTGAAATGAGCATCGCCATCCTTTTGACATTTAACTTAGAATACTGAGCGTTCTTAATTTTCTGCATGAAACAAATGTAATTTATTGCGGTAGCAGTTAAATATCACAATATTGATAATTGCACTATGCAACACCCATATCGCACATTGCATGTTTTTCCAATAGCGTGCGGCCTTAATTTAAATGTAAGCATGATAATGTATGGCATCTTAGAGTAAACTTAGTGCAGTATTTCGAGGCTGGGCCAAATGTTCTCTTTTTAAAAATCAAACGGTTACCTTGGTATGTCTCCTAGGATTCCATAGAAAAAGGAAAACCCACATTTCAAGCAAATCTCAATGTTGCAAAATGTATTCATTAACAAGATTGAAAAGGAATGGAAGACTACACACTTTATTAATTTGAACAAACATCAAGAAAAGGTAACATTCAATGTAAACACCCCCCTCCCCATTTGTTCTGGACACGTGTAAAAGATTTAAGCGAACCAGCCATCGGCTAACGTTACATGTACTAGATCTGCCGCGACCTGCGTTACCGTGTGTCGTCTCCCGGGGGGCAACAGAACTGCTTGTGTGACAATTTAGAACATTTAGCAGCTCTCTAATTCTGCAAATGTGAGTTTTAGGGTCTGTATTTCTTTGCGCCACATAGGCGTTTTTCCCTCTCGTCCATTTTATCGTGGCCAAATAGTAAAGTTGCCAACAGCTTCAGCTTGTCTGCCCAATACCCGAAAACCCAAAGTCCCCTTAGCTGTATGTCTTATAAAACCTTATTTTTGACTAGTGCGTCTTGTGTTATCACTCATCCATTGTACAGTTTATTTCAGCATGTGATGTACAATTCCACACAAGTGGTCAAACCCAGGATTTGGGAGGCCAAACTTGTGTGAGTGACAACAGGAGCTATTTCCACATCATTTCAAACAGCTGTAGCATAATTCATTGTAATTCTATATAATTTAAATAAAGATCAATTTTTATGTATTTTTATTTAAATGTTTTCAATCACAAAAACTGTACTTGATCGTCAGCTCAGTTTGCAGACCAACAACATATATACAGTTAAATCCCTACAAAAGGCTACTTATGCAGGCAGCCAGTTTAAAAAAAAAGCCCCCAAAAAAGTGAGTATGATGGAAAAATAACAGTGGTTGTAAATGGTGGTGGTGATTATATAAGTAAGCACTGCAAAGGTATTTAGAGTGATGTGTTTGCAATGGAGAAAAGGCATTGTGTGTTTTTGACTTGGCACATAAAAAAACTAAGTGTAAAACAATGCCAAGTAGTGGATGTCAGTGGTCAAAAAGACAAGAAAATGCACTGTCCACGCAAATACATACACAAAGCGAGGACAGGACACAGCATCATTCTGTCCATAAATTTAGATCAATTCAACTAAAAGTGAGCAAATGGCTCATTTTTTTTCTCCATTATCCAATTTAGCCCTTGTTACAAACACCCGAACAATAATGTCATTAAATGGGGCGGAGTTATTGTCCAGTGCATTGCAAAAAAAAATATTTCTAAACGCACCCACACTATTCTGCATGTGGTGACCTTTACTTATCACCATGAAAATCGTTTGATCCAAACAGGACCAAATAATTCTGCTTTGAAAAAGTAGTGTGTGTCCGTGCATGCGCATGACAAGAAACATTCAAGAAATTAAATAAATTAAATGACCTCATGGTGTGTGTTTTTATATATATATAAAAACAGATGTCCACTGTGAAAAGAAGTAATGAGGCATAGTGGACATGAAGTCTTTGTGGATGGTTTTAGATTTAGAACTCGTCGTGCCGAGTGAGGGCCTCTCCAAAGTCGGTGGCTTGGCTGCCCACAAACAGGTCGTACTTGTCCACAATTTCAGCCTTTGTCAGGCGGCCATCCTAGTGAAAGGAAAGTTCAAATAAAATTACCATACATGGAATGCTTTTTTTTTTTTTTTTTTTTTGCAGCTTATGTAGTTCAAAACGCGCTGCCGGTGACGTGCACTGCTTCTAATAACATTGGCTGCAAAGTTATATAAGCTTATAACCACAGGGAGTGTGACCAAATTATCCACTGTTCCAACTGTCTGGTGACCTTTTCAAAAACGTGTCTAGGAGCTTTAATTACAGCTTAAAACACAGGCATTTTGGGGGGTTAAAAATGTTAATTAAAAACATTAAGGAGCATTTTTATATATTTCTTTTGACAAATAGGGACCGCTCCCAAGGGTAAACCGTTATTGTCACATCCTCGCCACAATGAAAATGTTTATTTCCATTACCTCTGTGGAAGTTGAGACTAGTCAATACTGGGAAAATACATTGTTTAAATAGAGGCCAATTGTATTTAACTGTTTTGACACATTTATTTCGCTGTGTTTTTCATTTAACTTGCAAAATTTTTCATTTAGCTTTTGTGTTCAATTTTAATTCAATCATTTCAGTATTTTTCCCCTTATTAAAAGCTCAAAGGTAAAGTTCAAACTGTGCAGAATATTACAATGGCTAGATTTTGTGGAAAGAAATCTGAGATGCTATTTTAAGGCCATATTAGCCAGTCCTACTGCAGAGAGGAAATATAAGACGCGACGGCTTACTTTATCTGCGTCAGACTCATGGACCAGGTGCTTGGCCTCGGCCTCGGCGTGGTCATAGTCACTTGGCAAGATCCAGTCTCGTGTTTCCTCCTTGTCCATTTTGCCGTCCTTGTTTTTGTCCCGGAACTCGGTGAACTGTTCCCTCTCCGTCTTCACCCACTCGGGTTCCGCAGCGCCCGCCTCATGGTACATGTCACCTGGGAAGGTCAACAACATCTTGGTTAGGTTCTCCTTGTATTGTCTTGTTTCCCTGGACTGCCATTTGTATGTCCCGGACAAGCTAATGGACAAAAGCTAATTTATTCAAAAGTGTTCTCTCGCAACATCCGTCATCCATGCAGTAACCACTGTAGCTGAAACGGTTAAGTAAATCCCATGGATTTACCCAGAGTGACGTCTATCTTCTTTCAGGCGGAAACATGACTTACCAATGTACTCGTCCAGGTCAATTAGACCATCTCCATTCTTGTCAATGTCTTCCATAGTTTCCTACAGGGAAGAAAAGAGGGCAGGGCAAGATAATTAAACAGCTGTTACAGTGGTGTTACCCGCTGGGTCGATTTTATCACTTACAATCACCACAATGTCTTTCATGTGCTCAAACTCCTCGGGGTGAATGAAGGCAGTGAACTCTTCTTTGTTAGCCTCATAGTCACCATTCTTATCAGCCAACTTGAACCTCCTTTCATCACGCGCCATCATCTGTCTGTAGCTGAAGCCATCATCGGGTTCGGGGTAATCTGTGGTTAAAGGTGTGTGACTGAGTTTGGGCGGTGTTGCGGCTGACTATTAAACCTGCGGCTGAAGGTTCTTACCGAGAATGTACCCATATGTGGCATTCTTGTACTCCTCCCATGACACCTTGCCATCCTGATTGAGGTCATGCGTCCTCCACTGGCGATCCACGTCCTCGTAGATCCACCTCTTCTGCGCATGTTTGATCCACTTCTTCATCTCTTCTATTGTCACAAAACCATCCTTGTCGTCATCAATGCGCTCCACAAGGATGCTGCGGACAGGGTCAAAGCAAATTGGTGAAAAGCAGACCTACGCCGAGGAAAAAATATTGGCAAGTCACAATATTTGGTCGTCCGACACAAGCAGGCACGGTTTGTTGACGCCATGCTTTCTGCTTTTCATTTGATTGCAAAACACTTTAAGTTTAAGAATACACCAAAATATTAGATGGAAAATTATACAACTACAATGGTACCTCAAGATAATACTCCTGGGGAAAACCAAGCATCTTTGGAACACACTGTTTTTAGAAGGTGGTAAAAAAAAAAAAAAATCGACAAAGTCAACAAAGACTAAAAGAAAATTGCAACTGTACCTCAATGATAACTATCTTATGCTACAACATAAGTCTTTGTGTGCGTTAAGTGCATCAATGTGTGCGATGTTTGTTCTAAACCATTTTGTCCAATGCATGCGGTGTGTGGCTTGATGCTGGTGTGTCAGTCAAGGAACACACAGGTTGCTGCAGAACTAGAATATAGGCGGTAATCATGAGGAAACGGTAATCATGAGGAAAGTGTGGACATAATTAAAGCCAATAATTGTTCCTATTCAGATAAATGGGCCGGCGAGGCGTGGACTCCTTGTACGGTTTTACCACGAGCCTCGCTGTTTTATCCACGGGTACATTTTAGATTATTCATATGGTTAAGTATTGTGTGTGCTTCATTCGTTCCCTCCCTCTCCAAAATGATTGTCCTAGGTTGGTTTAACCTTTCCATCAACGCCAAACTTGAAAAGTGGTAGGTATGTGGTTGGATGGCCTGAAGCTGTGCAGGCAACACAAACATGGCAAGCCCATGTAAATGATATTATTATCTTGGGTGGTCATACCTTGATGACGGACTTAATTACTGCATAATTAGTGAGTACAATTTGTTCTGACTTGCAACCAAGTTCAGTTACATTGACACTATCGGTAAGGAAATCATCTGTTCGCAGCCACTTTCTTGGTGTGTTTCATGGTAATGATATGATACACTGTGATACAAAGTCCTGCTTTCACTTTTTATATTTGGCACCAGTCTTCCACAAATTTCTCAGCAACTCAACCAAATGGAATTTCCATCTTTGCTTTTCTAAGCCACTGTGAAAAATGGCCCCACATTATGAGAGAAACCTTACCCGAGTCGCTCCTTGCTTTCCTCAGGAGTGAGCTGGTCGAAGGTCTTGGCCTCCTCCTGGCCCAGGAAGGCTTCGTGATCATAGTCGAAGTTCGCCGTGTCGTCATGCTCCCTGTTGCTGAGAGGGTCATCGTGGTGCACGCGGTCTTTCTTCTCCATGGGCTTGCTGGTGGCGTACACCACGCAGAGGGCAAAGCACATTAAAAACGGCCGCAGCTCCATCCAGCCAAAGTAGATGCACCTGGAGAGAGTGAAATGGTCTATTATGTTACATTGTGAGCATGGGAAGGACTGGACAAGTGGCAAGGGTGTGTCCTAATGACACTGTGAAACACTTCCACTCTAATTGGAGATATTTAATATCTTGAATTCATAGCATTGAAAAAGTTTTTTTTTTTTTTTTTTTTTTTGCAGGAGTAGATGTGTTTGATGCCCATTTTAAAGCTTGTTTGGAGCCTCAGGTATAGTGACTTGAGATAAGACATGGGTTCATCACTTTGAGCCTGACTCCAAAAGTGGATCCACAAAGGAAAAGAAATTCAATCACAGCTCTCTGTTTCGAATGGGCATCCCACAACGACACTTTGAGCTATTTCATTCTGTGCCAAATCACTGCACGTTTCACCAAGTGGTTTTTAATGAAGTCATTAATTCAGCTTTCTGTACTTGTTAATAGTGATGGCACAACAGTAAATATCAGATTTTAGGTCAATCGGAGCAGGGGTTTGGGAGCTACCCTATGCTGAATGTTGACATATACTGCAAAAAGGGGTATGGCCACCTTACTTTCAACCCTTATACTACTACTACTGGGTCATCACCATCAACAAACACAGCAAATTTCATTAAAATCAAAATACGCTTGATTCAGAATTTCAGATTTTTTTTCGAGTCGCCAATGCAGAAGACTGGCACTATGAAGTTACAAATAAGGACAGCATCGCTATTTGTTTTTATATATAGATTACGTCCGGCGGGATGACGCTTTGATAACAATAATAACACATCAGAGCAGTTGGCAAATCCTGAAAAACACATACTGGTGAATAAGTGAACACGATTCCGTTCAGGAAAGATTGAGGGTTATGTTCAAAACTGACTTAGTGCTACAATCCACCGGCTAGCTTAGCGCAACAATTTTTCTTCACAAATCTTACAACGTCTAATGCTAATTTAATTTCAAGGTTGTACATCTGTCATACAAACACTACTAGCGACGTTTGATTTCAACATTTGTGTTTAAAGCCCGAATTTACTCCAAGCACACTTACCGATGTCTTGAGACAACTTCGTCGATGTGGCTGTCGACTCAACTCCAGGAAACACACCCGTCCACTTCCGCTGGTCGAGCGCCAACTGGCCAATGGCATTGCGAGGACGCAGGTGGCATGTCGCTCGCTCATTGGTCCATATCCTGTGAGCATTGGTGATTGGATTGGCCGAAAACCGCCACGTCCTCAAAGGCAACGTTTTCCTCTCATTCAAAATGATTTCCAACTACCTACAAGTGGAACGTGAAAAATGCTCATTAAATAACGTTTAAGATTTTGGAGAACTCTTGATTGTAATGGTTGAGTGTGAAATGTAAAATTATTTCCTTTTTTGAAGAATAGAACCACTTTAGCTATTTTCATATTTTCTGGGGAAATCCTGGTGATTAATGACAAATAACAAATATATGTGAAAAGGTTCAATTATCAAGAAATATATTTCGGATTTCTTCTTGATGTCAATATTTCACTGTGACAGTGGACATGTTAAGCTTGAAAACATCCAACCAGACTCATATGATGAAAATTCTCAAACATTGTGTAAATATTTTGCAGGGATCCACCATTTTAGCCTCCAGCGAAAAAGGAAAACGCTAGTAGTAATGTCGTCAAACACATCAAAATAGTTCTTTAAGGGGCTGTTGCCCCAAATAGACAAGGATAGATGCAAAGTGTTCAGTATGATAATGAAAATATATTATCAAAATGAATGGTTTATTAAATAACTTCAAAGAATGATTCAGTTTCATTTAACCACTTAATAACATGCTGTAGGTGGCAGAGCAGTATGCAGGACATGGCAAATTTAAGTACATCGAATGGAAAAAAAAATTATAAAATGAAGGAAACGCATTGAAAGAGACTGGTGTACTGGTATGTGTGCAAATGTTTGGCTACTTTATAATCAGCGATCATTATTCCGTTCCATTTTCAAGACAACTGAGTGAGTCAGTTGAGAACACCAAAGGCACACACACTATCCTGGTACCAACTTCTTATTCAACCATAGTAACTCAACTGTCAACTTAGTAGGAAAACCAAACAAACAAAGACACACAAAAAAATCTGGCACAGTGTGCAGGACGTGTACAATGGAAGCCTTGACTTCAGTCTAGTCCTTTTGGTCTTTGTTTGATCCATCAGTAAGTGTTTGTAATGACTATTGAGTTCTGGAATATTACATGACCAAATACACTAAATTAAACTCTCCGTCAGATTCACATGATACTGACTCTATTTTTAACATTAATTTCTTAAGTTCTAGAACAGAGGTCTTTTCTTCACTTGGATGATTGACAGCTTCTTCATCTCATCCCGCTGCCAGGTCTTCATCCTCCTTTTTTCTTTCTTCACTCGACTGACAGACTGTGTCGCACTGCTTATCGCCTTCGCCAGCTGGCGCAAAGGACCCCCCACCCCCCCAAAAAAAGTTAGTACAATGTAGGAGACATATTATTTGTAGTAAATAATCATTTGCATTCCAATTAAGTGAAAAAAATGATAATTCCTTGCTACACACCTGGTGATCTCTCACGACACAAAATTGACGTGCCACAATGGTTGAGTCTCACTGGTTTAGAGTACACTCGTGTGATTTTGAAACCAGACAGGAGAGCTAACTCTTACCTGCATCGCTTTCATTTTCTTTCTTCTCACTGAGGAAGACCCGTTGCATCATGAGTTTCTTCACCGTGTGACACTTGTATTTGAGCTCAGGTACACTGCCTTCTTTTCCTATAGACACACACAAACACAAAGCTCAAGCATGACTGTGACAAAAGCAGTGCCAGTAACCCTTTTGAGAAGACATGGAGCGTGGAGACGTTACCTTTGCCTGGTCCCTCCTCAAAAAGAACGCATGTTCCCAGGGCATCTTGAAAGGGAAAGTGATCAGTAGTATCATAAAAAAAAAGAGCAAATACATTATTATTTCTTATTATACATGCTTTGTGGTGTGCATTTTACATTAGCAATAACCTGTAGAAGGGACGGTTTTAAGTCAAAGAACATTATCATGCCTGTGAGTGTAATAACTGATTTCAGTAGTGCCCCTGACCTCAGTGAAGAGCAAAGTAACACCTGCATTTATCCGACTACAAGATGACTCCCATTTTTCTGATTACAATCTGGCACTGTCTAGTAAGGTGTGAAGATCTACAAAAAGACTAATTAGTGTATTTGAGTGGTTTTTTTTTTGTTTTTTTTACACATCTTGATCCATTTGGTTGCATATGTTACCTGTCCTCTTTGCCAAATAACACAAGGCGCACGTTTTTCTCTTCAAAAGACTTGTTTCCGGTATTCTCCGTGTCTCTCTGACTCATTTGTTTCCCACATTAGTGAAGAGTCTTACCTTCATATTCTCCTGCAAACACATATTGCCCCACTTGCATCATTGGCTGCTCACTGTCAATATCCTTTCAGACAAATACAAATAAGATTCTGCTTTTAACAATCCTAGTGATGGACAATAGCTTTTTTTTGTTTTGTTTTAATGTCGTCGTAAAACACCACAACAGTCAAAACTTACCAGTATTTTGCAGGTGCCCCAAGACTTGAACATAGCATCATTATTTATGATTCCAGAGAGTTCGACAACAACGAGCTGCTCCTGGACACACATACATACATACATATAATCATCTATCAAAAAGAACTAATCTACGGTGCTGTGAAAAAGTATTTGCTCCCTTCCTCATTTAGGTGTTTATGTGTATTTGTTTTAATATGTCAAATAAGCGCAAAAAAAAACAAAACAGCCGCATGTTAACCAATAACTGAACATGCACTTCGCGGACAAAACTCATGCACGTGTCGTAAAAACCCTTCAAAATCTTATATGCTTGGCCACAAAGCACTCATGTTTGGATAGTCCAAAAGCATTTATATACATTGATAATAGCACCTACCTCGTCTTCCCATTCGTCATCCATGTTTAAAATCCTGTTACACACGCGAAGGTCGACGTTTTCTTCCCCCGCGCCTGGATCAAACCATTGGTTCGATTACTTCCGCAAATGTTACGGTGGCTGAAAAGGTTAGAGTCATTATGTAATTGAGTCTCTTGACCACTCGATGTCGCTGTGGTCCTTTTTACAGTTTTTTTTTCGTATTCACATAACAGTAAAATGACATGCCTAGCACAAATATACGTGTGCGTGTGCGTGTGTGTGTGTGTGTGTGTGTGTGCGTGTGTGTGTGCGTTTTTTTTTGTGTGTGTGTGTGTGTGTGTGTGTGTGTGTGTGTGTGTGTGTGTGTGTGTGTGTGTGTGTGTGTGTGTGTTGCAATTTGGGACCATCGAACATATTGCTATTGTTATTAATTAATATCTCTTTCAGTATTGGAGGAATTTTATTTTTGCAAAGGCATCATTTCACAATACAATGCAAAAAAAGGGCGAAGTTCACATTGCTGTTTTTGTACTTAACCGTGACATGTAAGACTCGAATACAAACGCACATTCAAAATATTTACTGTAAAAGAAAATAACTGTAATTTGACCAATGATCAATTCATGATGCAGTGGGCAACTGTTTTGTGCTCCTAAAGTGATTGACATATGAGCCTGTTGTGTAGCACAAATGCAGCTGTTGTGTGTGCATATATGTGTGTGAGTGTGTCTGCATGGACCTTTCTGGATGTGCTGTGCTCACACAACTTCTGGTAAGTCAAAATTTCTGTAAACTATAGCTATAGCTTGATTTTTTTAATCAAAATTGATCACAAGATATATATCATTCTTGCTTTTGGAGTTATGGAATTAAACGCTGGTGGGCGAGTGAGAAAAAGCCTATAAATAGAAAAAGTCTGGAAATCCCTTGTGCTTCTTGCCATCTATGACAACAGTAGCAGTGGACAATGTTTTAGATACACGTGCATAATACACAAAAAGCCAAAACAATCGCAGTCTCAAAAATTCTACTTTGATAAATGAGAGGTTTTGATTTATATTTGATTTGATTTGTTAGTGCTTGTAGTTATGAATGCAGCACACACTGAGAGCTCTGTGAAATCAGTATTACCTTTCTAAAAGGTAGATTGTCCTTGATAGCTCAAGTGAAATTGACTCTTTATACTGTAATGAAGAAAGAACCAGGCTAGTCATAAAGATATGTGTCTTTGGGGACAATTTGTGATTACGGGCATTGACAGTTCTATCAGAGTATGGAATATTCCTTAATTACAAACCAACAGTCAGTGTCATAAAGGGAGAGGCAGGACCCTCATAAACGAACACAAGGGACAGCTGCAGCACAAACACGGAAACAGGAATTGTATTGGAACAGAATGGCTACTTGTAAATAAATTTCTGGGAGGGAGTGCGAGAGAGATTTTTGACGGGACTATATCCCCTCCTTGCCCCTTGCATGCTCCCAGCCTAACTGATTATGTCATTGGCAGAGTAACTCATACTTGGTGCAATGGCAGACACTGGACACTCAGCTATTTGTGTACAAGCCATTAAAAAGTAAAAAATTCTCACGTTATGTCGCCATCAAAGCCCAACATCATCTGTTTACTTTTTCCTCAACACCCTGTGCTGCATGTACCCACTTGGTTACCTTGCAAAGCTGTTTTTTTTTCTCCAAATAGAAAAGCGGCCCTCCTGTCTACCTCTGATCTAGGAAGCAGAGCAGGATGACTCTTCAGTGGACGGCAGTGGCCTTCTTTCTCTATGCAGAGATAGCCATCAATCTCATCTTGTGTGTCCCATTCATATCAGCACAGAGGTAGTGTATATACTAGTGCAAAAGTGAATATTTGGAATAAACATGAATTGTAGTACAGTTATTCTCAACCCATATCAGTGTGCTCTAAGTGATCAACAGGTGGGCAAAAGGAAATTATACATATTCACCTAATTGGTCCAAAAATGTATTCATTTCCTACAAATAATGTCCCACAGCCTTGTAGCAATTTATGACAACCAAGTCAAATGACAACTGAATATTCTTCCTCAGGGGCACTTTAAATGGTGATCTGCGTGTGCCGACTCCTGTTTACCCTGAGTTTGAATGTAATTGGTTAATTTTAAACCCAGTTATAAGTCACACTATAAAGATTGGACCTGTTGCAGTCGATATAAAATTGATGTCCTGTTTTTGCAGATGGCGCTTGGTTTTCAGTTGGAAAATATGGACGTGGTTATCCCCTTACTGGAACAAGTGTTTCTTCGCCATGATCATGGTTCTCATTGTTCTTTTCCTCGGTGAGCCACTGTTACTGCAAACTGGTCCAAGTTATCAATGTATTGATATTGACCGTAGGATTGATTGAGACTTACCCACCCTCCGATCAAGGAAAGTAACCAAGTGCACTGTTCTTTGTTACTCCACCCGTAGATTTTTCTAGTATCTGTGCTTGACTAATGTTCTGAAGACTTTTTACTCAAACACCTTGCATTTGAAAACACAGTGGGCAATGTTACTTTCCCCTCATTACTTTGTCAAAATACGCTTTTAACTTTTTTCAACCCATTTTGGAGGACAGAGAGGGCTAAAATCACGGTGAGGTGAGATTTTGGAAAAAAAAAACACACGCTTACGTATCGGTTAAATGTTTTTTTTTCCACTTTATCATTGGCTAATTTTGCTGTTTTTCTTTTTTTTTTCATGTGTCACTTCACATTATTAGAGGAAGAATATGGGAACACGTAGTTTTGATAGCGTGTCACGGATTTATTTTTTTCTTTTCAGCACGAGCACTTTGCTAATGTAATTGTGTTAAGACATCAAAACTGGTCCATTTGATACTTTTCTTGTGATTTCAACTTCAATTTTACAACAGAGTGTGAGGAGAATACTTTTGCCACCTCTGCCACCCTCAGATGCAGCTCGTGAGGTGCACAAGTACTCAAGCCCTGAATCCATACAAGAGGTGAAGGTGAACTCCAATCTCTTCGACCACCTTCACATGAGGCTCTTCAGAGCTCAGAGGAACCTCTACATCTCGGGCTTCTCACTCTTCCTGTGGCTGTTAGTCTTATATATCATTCCCAATGAAAAGGTGATATAATTTTGCAAAGCAGCTGAACTGTGCGCTCATCTTCTGATAGCAGCTGAAGAAGACTTACATGCAGAAAAATGTGTCTGCGGAAGTGGCTTCTGAGCAGTTCATTCACTAGCCATAATACAACAATCTAGTGGGATACCCCTCTCCCCCCCCCCACCCCCCGAATCTCTTCATTTGCCATTTCTGTGTATTTCATGTTCCAGTGTCATGCGGCGGGCTATCATCTTGCTCAACCAGGTGGCTGTCACGGCACAGAATAATGCAGCTCTTCAAGCGCAGATGGAGAACGCTGCCAAAGCCGCCAACCAACATCAAGAGGACAACCGTGTACTCAAACAAGTCAGAAGAAATCATAGCTTCATGACAGCACTTTATATTGTAAAGTGTGACTTTGGTAAATGTAACCATTGATCCTTAGACTCTCTTAGGTGAGGAAAAAGTAATTTCAGAAAAGAATCATCAGCTGAAGCTTGAAGTCAAGAGCCTGTCCAATCAGCTGAAGATGGCACAAGAGGGTGAGTATTCATGCTAGCCTCTTAGAGACACTTTCAGAAAAAAACTTGTTCCCACAGCTTTGATAGCGAAGTGAACGCAGTAGCACAAAATGTTTACCATGGAGTATTGCCAAAAATGAAATGTTACAGGTTTGATGTTGTATATGTTAGAACATACAATTAATTAAAACATAAGGGAAGCAATCAACTTACCTGATGGAAACGATCATGTTAGTGCTTGTACAGGCAGCCATATGCAGCGGTCCAAACGTCAAACGACACATTGAAATGAAATCGAGAGTTTTCCAATTCATCCATCCATTATCCAAACCGCTTATCCCCACGAGGGTTGCAGGCGTGCTGGAGTCTATCCAAGCTGTTTCAGAAAGTAGGCGGGGTAGAAATGGAAAAAGAAATGCTGAATAAAAGCTGGAATGCCACAGTGGATGGTGGAACACCCCAAAGCAACTAATTTGAAGTCCTGCTTGTGTGTGCAGCCATTCACAAATCCCATGCTGAAGTGGAGACCATGAGAAGTCAGACCAAAGGTCTGGCCAAGGAGTACGATCGACTGCTGAGCGAGCATCATCAACTCCAGGTAAATTAACATGGACGCATTCATGAAGATTATGCGTTCACTGACACTGATAATACTCTATTTGATCCACAGAATCTTCAGAGTGCCGCAGACAAAAAGATCCAATGAAATACATGGAAGGAACTGTCAATACATCAAGGGGTCATATTTTGGAAAATGTATTTTCATTGTTTGTATATAAATAGTGGTAGCTTCAGATTGAGGTACCAGCTTGGTCATGGAATGAATTAAACTGAGAACTCAAGGTACCACAGTTGGTTTTGTTTACTGGAGTGCCTGACAACCCACCAACTGTGAAATTAAACAACTAAGACAATTTTTTTGTTACTTGTCTCATTCAAAAAAAATCCTGAAGCTCCAGAGCGACTTTCAAGTACGTGATGGCCACAGTCCCAATATGGTTAACTTAGCCAGTGATGCTTTCACACCTGCACCATTGATTTGTAGTCCTGGCACCAAAAGGGTGATGAAATACAACCATGTTCTTCACATGGTTCCCTTCTTTCCAGAGTTCGGGCTACTGACCAACCGACCTACAGGTTATCTATCTATCTATCTATCTATCTATCTATCTATCTATCTATCTATCTATCTATCTATCTATCTATCTATCTATCTATCTATCTATCTATCTATCTATCTATCTATCTATCTATCTATCTATCTATCTATCTATCTATCTATCTATCTATCTATCTATCGATGATCCTGAAAACAAATGTTGCCGCACTTGCAGGTGAACGCGCAAGGAGCGCAGCACTTTTGCGTGTCTAGCGCGCGCACGTACGCTTACGCTCGCGCACTCTTCTTGCGTCGAGAGCGCGCCGCGACCGTGACAGTCGCCATTTTATTTTGAAAATCAAACTGCACTTGAAGGCGCCGCGATCCTCTTCCATTTCGCCCAAGTTTGTTTGGAGAGAACGAAGGAGGAATGAGCTACTGAATCACCCTCGTCGAAGCACGGTGAGATTTGGACTAAATGCCTCCTGACAGGTCCTTTTCTCGCGCGGGTTCAGGTTGATTTTAACGCGTACTGGAGCGATTTGAAATCAACAGGACGGCGGTTAGCCACCAGCGTCGGGGATGGACTATTTACTGGAAACCAGCTGTCATAAATGATCAAAACGATCAAATTGCTGAGGTTGACAGTTGCTCGTGTTTAATTTCCGTATGTGATGCATCTGTACGTTGTACAAACTCCACTTTGTTATTTAGTGCAATTAGAGTCGAGGTAGCATACATTTGTTGGATACGAGATGCTTGCATCTCAAGTGATTGCAGTTCCGTAGACTAGACGGGTCTCGTTGGAGATGAGCTAACAAGGCTAATGCTATCGTATGCCAATCCATAGGGATTGTTTCTATAGTTGACTGCCATTGTGTTAGTCAGGTTTTCTTGACCTAATTACGAATAAGATCCCAGATTGTACGGTTGTATATTTAAGAGTTATTTCATCAAAAGTTTGCAGCAAACAATGCTAACCCTGTTTTGGGCCTTGGATACTAGCACGGTTAGCTTCAGTATTAGCGTGAAGGACCGCTGGACTGTGCTTTACTCAACACTTTCCTATATCTACGACATTAATTGGCTTTATAAATGTCGGTGGCCGTTTTTGTCGCTGTTTTATACTGCTAAATTAGTTAAACGAGCTCTTTATGTTGAAGGTAATCGGCTAAAAGTCAGGTCACGTTATAATATGCTGTTAGCTTCGACGGCTAGATATGCTCTTTACACGACACTAGGAAACAAACCCAACTTCTAGAAATCTCGATTAAATGTTGAATTGAGCAGTCAACTGTCTCGAATTTATATCATATGTATGAAATTAGGACGCCAGTTGGGCACTTAGATAATCAATTACAGCAGCATTTCGATTGCTTGTTTATGGCTCGCGGAGCATTTGCTCCCTCCATGCACTTGTCCTTTGTTTCATTGTGGTGTTTTTTGTTGTTTGCTTGATTGTTTTTGTCCCTGTGCGGGATAGCGTCTCCACCTGTCTGTTGTGTGAACGTTCGTATGTTTTTGTTTGATGCGTACCTTTTAATTATGGGAAAAATAGAGGTGTGTTATCTGGAAGGAGCTGTCGATTCTGCCTCTTGTTTTAGCTCAACCGAGGCCTAGTGTGAACAATCTACAGCCTCGTTTTGGGGGTTTAGTTCACGTGCTGAATTAGATAGCCACCAAACTTTGTGTAGTAGATCTGCAGATTAATGTGCCCGACCTGTTAAATGTCACATTAATGTACGTTGAAATCTGCTAAATGGAACAATTTCAGCTGTCATGCCCAAAGGCCTCAAAAAGCCTGTCCTATTTTGGCATGACAAGGAGTTGGTAAATACACGCTATTGGTGGCTGTTTTGGACCAAGATCCGGCAAGAAAAGTAATATGTTTGCCAATAAGGCCTGCCTCTCCCTGCAAAAAAACAACAATGTTTGTAATTACCTATCATGATCATTTGAGCCCTAATCGTACCCATCCTAATGTTGATCATTTCATACCCTTTTGTAAACATTACCCTTGGAAATAAATAGCTTACTGATAATTTGGTTTAGTGGAGAAAATGCACCACAACTAGAAGGACACTTGTGTGACTGTCAGACTGTCACCGTTTGATAAAAAGACCCATTTTAAATTCCTTTTACCCATATTATGCCATTTACTCAGGGATACATAGATCATCAAATTTTTAAATGTAGTGGTAATGACTGCGTTGCTTCAGCTGGTCACTGTACCTTATGTAAAGTAACTAGCTGTTAGCCACTGACCAGCTGTTGACTTCCATTATTTCCTATATTAATCCGCACCTTTCTCAGCATCATCTTGAATGTTACCACCCTGCTTTCTCTGGTGTAGCCCCCACAAGGAGCCTTACCTGTCTTCCTCTACTAGAACCTTTCGTCACATGTCTGTTCACTGTCAAATCAACCAGCTAACAGCCGGAGGCCAAGGCTTAGCTGCTGCTCCGCGAATGGCACCTTAGGAGGTGCTGGGCATTTGTATGGCATTACAGAAAGAGCATGAAAATACCCGATTGAATGTGAATAGTTGTGTTTTGCAGCAAATTGTTTTTCTGTTATACAGAAAAGTTACGAATCTGGAGTTTTTACTATGCACCTATTGACCAGTATGGAAGCAATGAAGAATTCATAAACGTACTTGTTGTATATCGCATATGTTATAGCCTCATTATTAATTTTTAAATCTCTTCCTTGCAGATGCTGAACCTTATTTTAAACTGAAAGACTCTACTTAGGACTGGGAGCCACTGACAGAAAACCTCATTTGGACGTCACCATTTTTTTAACACCTTTTGGGGGGGGGGAGAAAAAGTAACCTATCACTGAAGTGACTAAAGGGGAATAATGGTGATTTTGCGCCGTGCTCGGCCGCCTGCTTCCGCCCCAACCAGCAATGAATCTTGACTCGCTCTCGCTGGCTTTGTCTCAAATCAGCTATCTGGTGGACAATTTGACAAAGAAAAACTACAGAGCCAGCCAGCAAGAAATACAACATGTGAGTGTTTTTAAAATAAATACTTTGACATCAACAAGCATGTAGTCTGTGAAGGTGTAGCGTTAATAAATCAATGGGCCTTTTTCCAGATTGTAAATCGTCACGGTCCTGAGGCAGACAGGCATCTACTTCGCTGTCTTTTCTCACATGTGGATTTTAGTGGCGATGGTAAAAGCAGCGGCAAGGATTTTCACCAGGTAATTTTTTTAAAAATCAGAAACCATTGAATTTCCCCTATTTATGTCAGCCTGATACTAAATATTGCAAAGTAGAGTTATGGCCACTCTCAAAAGAATAACAAAATTATTGTACAAAATTAAAGTTATCATCTTGGAAATATCACATAGGGCACTTACAAGTCACTTTTTCAAGGTCGAAGTGGTAATATTGCAATAGTTAAATGAAACACTATTTCGGCACACCAAGATCACATTGATAGTAGTATGAGGAGTTTGAAATGTAAATGTTAACAAATGTGTGTGATGCTGTGGACAGCCTCCGACACACATCACTGTCTTCATGAAGTAGTCCGCAATTACTTTGGGATCCCTGTTGGTATGGTATGCTTCCATCCACAGTAGGAGTCCACTAAATCCATCAATGTAGCCAATCATTTGCAATACAGTGTCTGAAAAGTGAATCCAGTTACCACGAAGCAGTGTGTCCCAACCTTTATTGAGCCAAGACACATTTTGCATCTGAAAAAATTCACAGCACACCACTGAGCAAAACGATTCATAAAAAAAGTGGATATACAGATTAAACTTCTGTCATCTGGTGGAAGAGTATTTGATTGTTATGACTTTTAGCATACATGGTTGGGATAGATTTCGTAATAATTTTTTTCAAGAGACATCTACTGACTGTTAAAATATTCGTTTTAGACCTAATGACAGCACCCTTAATTCATTCTCCTTTCACACACTTTGTGCAGATTGTGGCTATGGACATAGAATATGTTGTGCAGACTACTTTTTACCATCTCATTGATTCTTTTGACACCTTTCCCTTCGTTGTCCTTCATATGCCTTTATTCTCTTTGCGGTCTCCTCCCCGGCATGTTGTATTTCCAACTTGGCCAAGACACAGTTTCTGATCCAGGAGTGTGTGTCGCTGATATCAAAGCCCAACTTTATCTCGACTCTGTGCTACGCCATCGACAATCCCCTGCACTACCAAAAGGTACGGAGCAGTTTTTGACGTAACACCACCTGAAATGACATTAATATACATAAAGCAATGGAAGTGTGTGTATACAGCAATTTTTCTTGTCATATTCAGTAGTAAATGAGGAATTGACATGAGTTTTATTTCAGAGTTTGAAACCATCTACCCACTTATTCACTCAACTGAGTAAAGTTCTTAAGCTCAGCAAGGTTCAAGAGGTAAGCCACTCAACCCTACTGCTGCAATTAGTGGGCCAAAATAATCAGTCCAAAAATGTATTCTGAAATGGGCGAACGTGCTTTTGAAAGTTCCTTGAAATCATTTACATTCTAGGTGATATTTGGCCTTGCACTGCTCAACTCCTGCAACACTGACCTCCGGGGATTTGGTAAGCAGTTCTCGATAGAGCTTAATTTAAAAGTGCTTCTTAAATTTTTCATTTTTTTTTTAATCATATTTGTGTCCTGCCTTTTTTTCTTCAACTTCCACAGCTGCACAGTTCATAAAGCAGAAGCTTCCCGACCTCTTGCGATCATACATTGACGCAGATCTCGGCGGAAATCAAGAAGGTGGCTTCCAGGACATCGCTATAGAGGTCTTGCACCTGCTGCTCTCCCATTTATTGTTTGGCCAGA